ATTGGGTCTTTGAAATGCATAAAAATGAGCTGGAAATTCATCGGAAAATCATCTTGACTGATTAAACCAATTTTTACTTCGATAGCTGCGACAATAAGCAAAAATGTCGAATCTGAGCTCGGAAAACGCAAGATTCATTGTTGAAAAGCCTCTCCATCCTCTGTTTGGTTTGGTTTATGGTCCGGCAGGGTCATTGCACCTCATTTTTTCGAAAACCATTGAACTTTTAAGGGAAATGTTTCCGAACTGTGTCATCTCTCGAAGAGGTGATCGCAATCGGCCACCAAGTTCTTGTTATTGGACACCTTGCGACTTCTTCCTTTGGAGCTAAGTGAAAGATAAGGTGTAGGACAACAGGCCAACGTCGATTCCAGGCCGCAATGATGAAGCTATTGAGGGAGACGGTCCTGTAATCGTAGCATTCTTTTGGCTGATATTGATTTGTATTACTAATCGTATACCTTTTGTTTATATTGAAATAAACTTCTGATCTTCTTTCTCAATAAATGCCTTTAATTCCTTTTTTTTTTTTGAATATTAAAACAACACCTCTAAATGGAAAGCCCTATATTATTAAATTCTAATATCTGATCTTATAGACTACCAAATTTTATGATCTTTGAAACCTTTTCACGAGTTTCGGTTCGAAAACGTCATAAGTAAATAAATTTTTCGAGACAGTGCCCATCCGGACATGCGGAGCAATACCCTTATATACCAAGACCTTAACTTCCCCATAATTGCTTGTATGCGGTTCATCGAACTGCCGTTAGCCATCACATGGTGATATCAAGATTAGCCGTTTATCTCGTCAATCATGCCTTTCTCGCCTACCTCTCGTTAATTCTTCCTCTTTGGCTGCATGGCCTTTCTTCTAATCCCTTTCAAGTAATAGTAGAACACACTCGTACTCTTCCCCCGCACAAGTTCGATTTGATAATGTGCCAAACGCGCAGTGCTCCACACATTGTCATTTTTTTTTTACATTGGTTGGCTCTTTCGTTTTTTGTAAAGTTGGTTTTGTCATTCCTTCCTCCGTACTCACGTTTGCACACTTCCAGCGATTTTCCACTAAGGTTCTCCTCCAATTTGTTGATGTTTTCCAACAAATGGAGGAACCTACAATTCATACTAAGCCACCACAGAACGGCTGATGGTTTTTTTTGGCGAGGCGCCTACGCTACAGCCGACGATATTTGAAGTATCGTACCTAAGTTTCTTTCTGCTTGTAGTTAGTTAAGCTTCGGTTTTTACTCAACAAGTTTTAGGCATTTTGCCGGAAGACGGCCCTTGATTTTTTGACGTTGTATGGCCCCTACAGTTACGCAATATCATCTGCGTATCCGATGATCTGAATCTCTCGCGAAAATGGAAGGTGGAAGATTCAGAAAACCTCTTAACAGAGTACGTTTCAAGGCAGTGGTTGAAGCAAAGTGCCCTGTGGTACTCCTGCCACCATCATTATTTTATTATAAATCTCTCTATCGTCTTGTTACCGATATCAGTTTGATTTTTAATTGCTTCGATGGTTGACTCCTTCTTCTGGAACCCATATTGGTCATCGAGAGCCACAATCGTCAATTTTATATTGGTTTTCTGTAGACACCTTTTCCTCTTCTGGCTAAAAAAGTGTCGCTGCCATCATACACATGTTCCACAGGAGCGGACCAGCGTGTTGAATACCAAACCTCATTTTCTTCGATTTTGAACGATAACTGATCCAAAACCTCACATCTGAACAAATCTGTTGAATGCGACGTATATTTTATAGTTATCCGATCTTTCCGTTTCCGACAAAAGCTAATATAGCACAAAACTCACCTTCGGACCAGGTGTTCCATTTGAAATATCTGAAAAACTGAGGGGCAGAAAGGCATGGCTAAATCAATTCAGTTCGTCATTCCATTCACATCGGACTATTTTGATATGCCTGCTAATTTTTTAACTTTAAACAAATAAAAACTAATAAATAAAAATGGAAGGATACACCCTTCAGCAACAGATGAAATGACTAAAATTCACTATGGAAACTTCATCAAAAAATCTTTTCACTGATGAGACTCATTAACACCGCTAGACCGATTTTAATGAAATTTTACGTGCATTTTCAGTAGGTCTGAGAATAACATTACATCCTTTTTTCATTTCGGAAAGAGGACCTGAGTCTGATCTATTCGAAAGAATCTTTTTTATGTTTCGAGTCAGAATTAAAGTCAGGATTTTTTTCTCTCCGGAAAGTGGTCCAATGTTAATGGTCAATGGTTAAACCGAAAATTTTGTATCGAATAAGTAGTGTCATGATAAAAATATATCCCATTATTACTTTTTCATTTATTCAATGAGTATGTGCGACAGCGAAATGTAGCAGGGAATAAGTAGTAAAATATATAAAATAATCCCAGAAATGTAGAGTTTCGAGTATTAACTAATTTTGATTAAAAATTTCCAACACACCCTAACATAGCTTATTCTTTGTACTTGACATTGGAGGTGAGCAATGATCGAGAGGCGGCAATTTGGTTATTCAAATTCAGAATTTCATTACAATAGCAACAATAGCAAAAATAGTAGCAGCAGTAAGCTGTAAACCAGAAGTAACAACAACAACAATAATGAAAATAAAGCATAACAACTGTAATGAAGTGTGTACATGTCATTGTTGTTGTTCTTGTTGCTGGTTATTTGCGTGTACCTAGCAGCATACCGAAATTGTAGTTGTTTCCTTTTGCTGTTATTATCTTTGTTGCTATTGTTGTAGTATGCATACAAAAGTTACGCTGCAACACCGTTAGTAGCGGTAGCAATGTATAATTTGCATGTTTATTGAATTTTACAATTTTAATTCAATTTTACATTTTAATTTCACATTCACATTTTGTTTTTGTTCTTGTTTTTGTTTTACATTGAAATATGAACAGACAGATAAATTGTTCATAGATGGTATACATATAAATAAACGTGAGAGCGTACATACATATATACATATATATGTATGCATGCATGGATGATGATATGATCTATTAAATTTATAACTGATGAATAATGAATGAGCGCTCATGTAGCTGTACCTATATTCAATAACCAATTTATGTACACATATTCATAACAACATTCATTTTGAAAGCAAACAGTAATTGTCCCACGGAAAACGATACTCACCAAACAAAATCAATATAAAAAAATTAAATATTTCTTCTTTTATATTTTGTGCAATAAATTAGTTAATTACTTAGTTCATTTAAACCTTTTCTTTTTTCAGATTTCCCGGTCGTTTTTTTTCAGATTTCCCGGTTATAAATATGGTTGTCCTTTTATCGGCACTCCTTGGGACAGATGGCATCCACACGAAGCAAAACTAAATGACCACTTATACTTGGCTGGAACTAAAGAAAATAAGACAAAATGTGTACCTTAAATATACACAGCAGCAAATTTTACTTGCATTACATGTACATATGTCATTTCTAAGCAGTCTTGTTTTCTGTGGTACAAATGTTATACATTTATTATTAACCTTAAATATTAACAGCAAACCATTTTCACGTTATACTTAATATAATATTTAAATCCAACTAAATTGAATATTAATGTCAAATTATTAAACTCTTCAGTGCCACACACATATATGTAAATAAGCGAAAATGATTGAAAGTCTGCAACAAATTAAAACTTAATATTTTTAAATTAAACTTAAACCTAACATTTTTTAACAGTTTTCATTAATGGCAAAATTTGGTGTTGGATTTGTGATGGGAGAAATACTTTGTTACCGAGTCCTGGCCTTCACCCTCATAGACTTTTTATAACATATCGTTGACCTGGCGGCTGTAAGGTACTCATGAGTGCTGCACCGCCACGACGTCAGTAATAAGTATCGTGACTTTAACGCCAAAGAAGGTGTGCCCCGCGCAACTGTCGGAAAATTCAGCATCTACAGTGAAACGAACCCGAAAGGGTTAAATTTCATGGATATCACCGGCGCTGGAAATATGGTTGTATGCAGTACTAAATTTCAGCTCTGTCTCCAGATCGATAAACTCAGAACCATATGGATCTTGTTGTGGTAGCCGGACGACATGTTTAGAGTGTTACTGACGTACATCAACTCGGTTCGAAGCGGGACCTACAATTTAAACATGCTACGCCCCCTACGACTGTCAGAAATACTTTCGGAGGGGTTGACGTTTCCTGCCTAGTGGCGACGGAAATTAAAAAAATTACCTTAATTTTTTATTTAAGTTAAATTTCTATAACTTTTGGATGTTATGACCAACATCCACCAGAACTTGAACCTTGTTCTTCCGAATGGCAGTACGTAATGCTACCCGCTCGGCTACCGCCACTCTATGGCAGCAATTGGGACTTTAATTTCAAATCACAACTACGAGCCGCCCGGTTCGCATTAATTCTCAATTTGACTTTTTGACAATTGGCAATTTAAATACTTGCCATTTTAAAAGTAAATTTGTCATGCTTCCCGATACTCAGAGTGCCAAACGCTTTGATAAGGCAATCAAGATCAAATTGGGCGAAACTATGCAAGTAGGCAACCAAACTAACACAAGAAACCCAAGAGAACATCATTTGAGCTTCTCCTTCATACGAATATGTTTTATTCTATAGCTGAACCTTTTTAGCACTCAATTTTAAACAAATAACTTAAAATTAAGAAAAAGTTCGACATGTCGTATGAGCAACATTTACTCAATAAGCGAACAAATACTAAAGAAGTTAAATTTAAATCTATGAAAAATGACTTATGTTCTAAATACGCTTTAGACAAGTATTGAACGGCTTGAAATACCTGAAAAGTATGTTTGCTTTGGGTATAAAAAATGGCATCAGTACCAAATCAGCCAATTTTCATTTATTAAAGGAAAAAAAAATTCTCATTGGTGAGTTTGAAAAAAAAATGTTCGCAGACAGGTGGTGTCTGGTAGCCAAGCCGCTTTAATTATTTTGTGTAATTAACTTGACACAATTTTATTAAGAGAACTTACCAGTCGCGAGTTCGAGAATGCTTCAAATAGTTTTCTGCAAAGAAATACCAAATGATGATTAATATTTAATTAATTTAATCTTTCTTTTTAGTCTGCTAAATTATTTATGTAATTTTTTGTAATAGTTTTTATATTTCTTTACTTTCTATGTGCTTATATAACTATTTTATTTTATTTGTGTATATTAAATGTTTTTTTATTATTATTTCTTTTTTTTCTATGACGAAGGTATCTTACTGACTATTTATAGAGATAATTATAAGTTTCCTACTTTATTATAACATTCGAAAGAACATTCTTTGGCTTTTCTTTTTTGATAATTATCTCTTTCAAATGTTGGCTGCGGCTACCTCTCAGATGGTTCAACCGTTGAGTTTAATTTGCGATGACTCGCTCGAGCATTTTGACTGGTAATTGGCGAATGACACGCGTCATGTTTTGCCCCAAGACCTGAACTGAAGCGAGATTGTCCGCATAGGCTTAAAACTTTAAATATCTCTACAGTAAAAATGTCTAACGGTGTGATATCACACGATCTTGGTGGCAAATCGACCGGGCCAAAGCGTGAAATTAGTGTGAACGATGACATAAAAAAACAAGATAGTTTTACTCAAAATTTTTCTTTATATATTAACCATCTGCCTAAAAAGATTTTTTGACGTTTGCTTTATTTTTGCGCTTCCAAACTCCATTTTTAAAAAATAAAACTTCGACTTTCTAATATAAAAAAAATATATTATCAAAAAATGCAAAACCTTTCAATGCAAAAAAAAAAATTTTGATGGCTTTGTATTTTTTTTTTTTTTGCTGAAATCTAATGGAAATAAAATTATTTTTCAAGCATTTTTTTTTTTATAAAAAAAAAATATGTGAAATATTTTTAAAGTGGCATTATCTTGCAGTTAAAATGAAAATAAGAGAAAATGTCAAAAAATCTTCTCCTGCTAATTTTATATTGTGTGAAAGTACCACCCCTTTTGTGTGGAGTGAACTATAAAGTGCGTAAGCCATACCCAAAAGGAAAATACCGCAAAAAATCGCACACTACCCTAAAATTTGCAGACTAAAACCCACAAAGCCTCCAACTAATTAAACTCCATTAAGCCTACTTAATTCGCAGCAAACACAATACTCGTACTTATTCTGCTGTGAATGTAGCAACACCTGTTACTCGGCGCCATAAATTACCATTTAAGCTTTTTGCATTCAAATCTAAATCCACTCAACTGCCTCACGACAATGACTATCGATTTTGTCAAAAAAAAAAAGAAAAACATAAAAGATTTTTCAAACACAAGCGAAAAATGTGCAAACAAAAGGATATGTATAAGATGAAGAAGAAAAATAAGAACAGAGTCGGAAATAATAAAAGTGCCACATGGTGTCGGAACAGTGGTGATTATGTTGTAGTTTTCAACTTCCTTCCAGACGCTCTCAGCGCTGGCTGCACAAAAAAAGGCGTGGAAAGTCAAATTAAAATAAAAAGAGAGTCGACGACTTATAATGTTTAAAAAAATATGATTATTACATACATTTGTATGTAAAAACTCCCGAATATTTGTGTTAGCTCTGATATTATGTTGAAATCAGACCACCAAACGCGTGAGGGGTATCGCTGTAAGCAAGCTCATGCTTGTTGTACGACTTCCAGCTGAAGTGTAGCGTGGACCACGGCGTTGTATGTTGGCAGTGCAAAAGCTGAACGTCTACTTTTCCAGCTGTTGCAGGTATAAAATACTCGCAGAATAAGTTTTTATTATATGGAATTTATGAGCAGTCCTCAGAATGTTCTTTGGGCTTGTTTTAGGGAAGTCGCATGCAGTGCTGCAGCACACATCACGCTAAATTTGCATATTTAATTCTAAGAATCTTCATTGTCATACCTGAGCAGCGCACAGTTTGGTTAGGCTGACACTGCAGACAATCTGTGTGTGTCGTTGAAGCATGAAACAGCTAAGTGAGAAATGAATATGCATATACTATATATACATATGTACAAGCATTTATGCTTTCGATAATACTTTATGAGGTTCCTTCCTATTTCCGTTTTGCGCGCAGACTTCTTCACGCCAAGCTCGACAACTAGACACACACTCTCTGGCTCTCTTATATTTTGCTCGCTTTGTACATTTATACGCACACACACACACACACAACAACACACACACAGCGAAAAATAAAAAGCCTTTGTCTGTGTTTGTCATTGAACTGCACGGAACAGGCAGTCAGCCTTCATCGCCAGCAATTTGATATGCCCTTCTAAGGGCATTGTTGTTGATGTTGATGTTGTTGTTGGATGCTATAACATTTCGTTAGTGGAAAATTATATTTCGCTCGTTGTTGGTTGTTTTGTGTATAACCCAAATACAAACATTGCATACCATAGCATAGCATACACATTCATACATAAGTAAATATATATCAATGTATGTATGTATGTGTACGAGTATGTACCACAGGGTTGTTGGGTGTACTGGCAGCATGCTTCCCACAATTAAATTGAATTTCCTCATTTTTTTTGGTATTTTATCTTTGTTGTTGTTTTTGTTTTCATGGAAATATTACGGTAACACATTTGCCGCGTTGAGAGGATCTGCGAGTTCATTTGCTTCTTAAAATCGATGTGGCAAACAGCAACACACATGATACATACCTATGCACATAATAAAGTCACTCATAATATATTCATACGTCAGTATAGGTTGGCAACTGTTTTAGTTTTGTTTTTAAATTAAAGCTTTTTGGGTTAGAAAAGCTAGAAACCACAGGTTTATGGGGGAAAAAATAATTTCGGAAATGTCTTAATTACATATGAACATACAAATTAATACATAATTAACATAAAAATATTATTTAACAAATTTAAAAACAGAAAACTTCTTCACTGAAGTGATCCTCTGAAGCTCTTGGTCTAGCATTTTCTTGATTTCATAAGTCTCTGCTAGAAAAGCAGTGCCCCGAAGCCGCAGCTTTTTATGAATTAAGAGAAAGCGTATTCTTTTTCTGCATATTCTTCTTCTTATTCCTCTTCTTTACCTTCTTCTTCTGCTCCTCGTCCTTCTTCTTCTTTATCTTCCTCCTTTTCCACCGTTTCCTCATCCTTCCTTCCTGCTATTCTTCTCATTCTTTCTCATTACCTTCTTCTTCATCTTCTTCTCCCTACTCTTCTTCTTCCTACTCATCTTCTCCCTCTTCTTCTTCTTCCTCCTCAATCTTTCTTTTTCCTATTTTTCTTGCTATTCTTTTTCTTCTTTTTTCTTCCTCCTCGTCTTCTCCTTTTTCTTTTTCTTCTACTTCTTTTCATAGCTCTTAATATTCCCTTCCCTTAACCCCCTCATCCTCTTCCTCCCTTTCTGTTTCTTTTGCTTTATCTTCTTCTTCTTATTCTTCTTCTTCTTTATCATCTTTTTCTTTTTCGTCTTCTTCTTCTGCCTCTTTTTGAATACATGGTCAAAAGGGGATTTATCACGTTTTAAGCCTCACTGATAAGGTCCAATCAGTCTTTTGACTTTAGCCTTTCACACGACACGCTCAAAGAACCTAATTAAGGTATTGATGAGGCTTATTCCACGGAAGTTGAGGCAGACTGTAAGGTATCCTTTTTTTGAATTGTGCTGAGCTCACGTAGGTTCCAGTCCTCAATCCATCAGACCCCGCCACTTTGTTGTTTTCCGATTCCGAAGCGCACGATTGCTTTTCGAATTTCATAGTGGTCAATGAAGCATTGGATGTTCCAATTTTAGTGCCATTGAGCAGACGGGAGAAATGTTCCCTCTATATATTCATATATAAACTCTGATCATCAGAGTGAAAACACCTTTCTGAGCCCTACGTAAAGAGCCCTTTTTCTTTCATAAAAAATCTCATCCCTAACGGTAAAAACCTTGAACAATCGATTTTCACAAGCATGTCTTGGTGCCAAATCTTCACCAAATCATTCATCATACATAGGAACAGATGGTAATCGCTAGGTGCAGCATGACTAGTTTAAGGCTCTCGGAGCTTTTGGCAAGTCACTATCGATGTGCGTGATCTGGTGATGTCCTGTTGAAACACAATACACTCCTGTTGGCAAAAAGAATGCTCTTCTGAGAGATTTCTGACGATCAGACTGGAGGATTTCTTTTTCATGAAGGGATTTCGGCCAAGCTCCTCCTTCAATTTTAAATTTTATGGTTTTGCGTCTTGATGTTTTTCCAACAAATGGAGGGGCTTACACTTTTTACTAAGTCGTCCCGAAGAGCTGCTGATTTTTTTTATGAGAAGCATTTATTTCATGTCAGAAATATACTCGGAGGGGTTGACATTCTCTTCCAAGCCGCGACCGCATTAAAAATTTTAACTTAATTCAAATTTCTACAACTTTTTTTGATCTTATTGCGACACTAATATGGCAGTATGCAGTGGTAACGACTCGGCTACCGCAGCCACTTCTAGCTTACTAAAATTTCATGTTAAATTGATTTTAACCGTTACATATTTACATCTACATATGTACGTACATATGTATATCTTGAGAATTTCTTTACCGTCAACGGTTCTTACTTTTTATATCAAATTTTTTTTATTACTTTAGTTTAGCATTCATCCGTCGATTTCAATCTCATTACACGCCTAGCCACCTACAAAATACAGTTATTTACATTTACTCCACTTCTCCGACATTTTTTCGAAATTTTCCTTGCAATTTTTTTATTTCGCTCTCATACGACAACAAACAAACATCTTTGAGTATGTGCGTGTGTTTGCATGTAATAGCGTTAGGTAGCCAATATTAAAAGGAAATTACGTAAATTTCCATAGAAAAGCGACTGTTGAGGCAATTACTTAAAATATCAACTTCCATCATTAGCCGTTAACCGCGCAGCCCAAACGTTTGTGCCACACACTTTGTGTTGTTCTTCCACTTACGCTTTCTTCTGCTTTGTTTATTAACGTTTTTTACTTTGAACTTATTTATTCTGCCATCATTCAATGCTTATTTTTTGGGCACTTGCGCAATTTTTTCGTCGTAATCATCGATTAGGCTACGGC